TGTCTAGTACCTGGCAATGAAGCATGAATACAACAACCGGGCAAACTCGGTTGGGTCGACCACTGCCGCTTCCCTCAATGGGGAATCCGGGACTCAACTCATTGGTGATTAATGACACTGGCAGGCACTGCTCAGTCACGCAATCAGTGCCTTGTGGATCAAAGCTACCGCCCTCAATGCGTAGCTGCTCCGAATTAACTGACCAGGCAATTTTGTCCAATGGTTGGCTACATCTCTCACACTGTCCGATTTCCCGGTAACTGAAACGGTAGCAGTTAAAACCGACGAACCCCTAGCAAACTGTTCATAGGTGACCAAACGAATCCAACCGAAAGAACCGCGCGTACCAGACGGCTGTGTAGGTAGCGTTACTTCATCGGTTCAAAACAGGACTTCACCGAAATAGAGACCTAAAACGCCTCCAGACGTTTGATCACCAGTGCTTTCGTAACATAACTGGACACAACGGAATGGTGTCTAAATGAGTTTCGTAAGCGGTCAGAATCGTCTGAGCAGCAAACAAATAACGTTTGATCACCAGTGCTTTCGTAACACAACTGGACACACAACGAAATGGTGTCTAAATGAGTTTTGTAACCGGTCAGAATCGTCTGAGCAGCAAACAAATATCGTCAGGCTAGAGTTGTTTGGGCATGTGCCATACAACCATTGACCAGATAGCGCTTGCTGGGGGACAAGACGTGGCTACGGTAATTAAAATTGATCACAGTCAGAGTGGATTTTACGGACTCGCGTATTGTTGTTCGGGCTCTTGGTCATCATTCATGCACTCAGTTGAAAACCTTGCAGAATAGTACGGATAACTGATCCCAATGGTGACCATGATTTTACGTCCCAACCTGACTAGTGAGCTAAAATCTGCTTGTCGTGCGCGTGGGCTGTATTGTGTAAGTTCACTAGGTATGCTTGATCAACCCCACTGATGACATCTTACTCCGATATAATGCTCAAGATGGCTCAGCTTTATGACATTTGGACGTCAGCATTTACCTTGGGTGTATTGATATCGATGAGTATGTTGGTGAAAATAGAAGTACAGTGGTGTGCGCTGACTGGGAGCTAGACAATCGCAAGGCTGTTTATGATAAAGGAATGGTTACTGACGCGCTAAAACGAGCTAGTCTGCAGTAGTCGGCATGGTATAGGCTGTTGATCTCCAGCTGAACGCTTGTGTAGTGTATTTCCGTCATTCATTTATTATAGACTTATCTCAGTGTCAAATACTCGGCCATCCATTGGTTCATTTCTATCGCGGCGGAAATCATGTGGCCGCTACGTGGCCATCTACTCTAGTTGATTTATTGCCTCTTCGTGCTCTGCTAAGATAGATTCCGACTGGAGGGTACCACGTCGTAAACGGCGTATGATTCGGAGATGGATCATGAAAAAAAACAAAAGACCTTGGCTGCCCTGGTGTATGTCGTCTGCGAGGTTGGAACTTTCCAGTCTCACCGCATCACTAGTTGGAGGTACTCGCCGACATAGTGCTGCTATATATATGTATATCCTTTTCTTCATCATCAGCCCGCCATTTTCTATTTTTCTCTTATTTAAAATGTTTTTCTGTAACCATTCATCCTTAGCTGTCTGCTGCCATAAGCTACACCGACCCGAACGACGGTACACATGCGCACGGCTGCCACACTGAATTGAACTCATCCGACGGCAATCTCGAGGTCATATGTTGTCGCATATTGCCATTCTGCGGACTATAGTTGGGTTTTCTGCAAGCGTTGATCGCTTGAACTTCCCGACATTACGTCATCGTAAAAGAACAACCGTAGAGAAAAAACTGTTACGGGGTTCAGCCCAAGCATACCAGTTTTCAAAATAAACGACGATTGAATGCGCTACATTCTTACAGTCGCAAAGCACATTCCACGGGTCAAAAGGTTCGGGAAGGCGAACTGGAACCATGTATAGTTCTGAACTGGATGTACATTCCCCTCCAGCCCTTAGTAACCCTTCCCTACAACCTTCATAAAAAACAGGAGTTGGATCGCCATTGGAGAACCACAGTTGGTGTGGAAAGCTCTAAGCAAGCATACGGCGGTCTCATTGTGTTACGATGCATTCTCAGTATGCAGAGGAATTCCTCGCCGGAGATGCCGGTTCATTGTGGTTTGCTATACTGCTACTGCTTCATAATGATGTACCATACCAATATACTCATGTTTATCTCGCAAAACCTGGGAAAAGCCACTATTTTTATTGATCCGGTGGTTAGTGAGCGAACATACTGACCGGGAGGCCCCTGGTTTGAACCCGACTTCTGCATACCCACAGCTCCTCTCTAGAATATGGCGACCTATCAGCACGTCAACCCTAGTTCTTCCGGGTGGCATGGCAGCTAGGCACCGAAACGGTTTTGCACCTGAACGATTATCACTTTTTTCTGTTCCGGCAGTAAAGCATCAGTGCCAACACTGACGTTGCTGTTCTTGATGATTAATTTTGTTACATTTTGGACGAGGCGACCGAAAGACAGTCCATAACTAGTGGGACCAGTAATGCGGGTGATTTGCATTATCCTGAAACAAGATGTATTAGCTGTCTGACTACAGTAGCCCGGTTACACAGTGGTCAATCCCCTCAGCCTGTTCTCACCCTCCTTATTTTCCGTACTGGATGAGCCGAACTCAACCAGGCAGTAGTGAAGTAAACAAACTTCCGTGCCAGTTATATACATCTAAGGTTGAGAAAATAAAGATACGCGGGCTGTTGCTGATGAGGTGAACCAGCATGGGATAGTCGCCTGATAAAATCCCTCTTTGAATAAGTCCCAGACGGGCATATCAAGGTCACACGATCCAAGCAAACAGGTAGAGCTAGTCTTTACCTGCCAAAAAGATGATCGGTTCACACCACAAAAATTGTTTGAGACTCATGAGTAATGAGCATACTTGCTCGTCTTGAAACTAATCCTGATTTGGTTGTATCTTTCTTCTCTCTCGATCTACAGATTTGGCCTTCGAGGTCGTGAACTCATACAGACGGTTGGGAAAGGTATGCTCCAAGGCGGTGGGACATTTGGACTTTTCATGGCTATTGGCACTGCCATACGATGTTAGAAAAGAGTATTCTCGACCATCCATCTTTGATTTGCGTGCTACGATCAACCTTTAGAGTATAGCGCCCCGAAGTACACTCGGTGAGCCCTTTCAAACTCCCCATCCTCTAAAATGACTTCGTCAGTTTCCTATTACATCTGTAAAAAGCGACGTGTAAAAATATAATGGCTTCGTATTTGTGGACTCCGCAGTTGGTTGGGGAACGCAATGGGCTTGTTCCACTAAGTTCCGCACAAATACCTATCTACAGAAACCCACGGGTAGCTTGAATTCGGTTTCACTCAATATGTTTTTTTCCAAAATGCAACTGTAGACACGGTTTGACGATTATATTCACCAAATGAAGGTTAATTCCTATTAGAAGGTCATTTATCTGTCTGTGGCACCATAAACCACCGACATATCTGACAATCGATCTAACCAAAGAACAACTCCAGTGTTGCTGAGTCACCATTGCGTGAGCAGAGTTACCAAACCTTAATAGCCTAGCTCCACTGTGCGTTGGTTACCTATGGATCGACACTGCAAGTGATGGGTTGTGGAAATACTGCGCAGGTATTGTATAGGAGCCTTCAGTACACAATCAGGTGCCCTAAGCTATTCCAGTGAGGATCAGGGCCCGGGTAGTTGTAACAGTCGCATCCACTATGTGAACAGCACCGTAGTAGGTGTATCGGAAGTATTCAGACCCACTCCACACGCTGTTTGGCAAGTCAAATGGGCGCCGAGGAATTAAGGCATGCAGGCACGAAATTCTTCGCTAGATAGCGGATGTCCCGGGGGAAGAGCTGAATGCCAGTTGAGACTGCAGGCTTGAATCCGACAAACTGATGGTACTCCTGCACGGTTTTGGCTTGTGTTGATATGGTTGCTTCTGTCGGATCTTTGCCTTTCTGACTTGTTTGTGGATCTTGTTGGGCTATCCGGACACCAGCGTGTTACAACAAATAAGTGACAATTGATCCCTTTTTCACTTTCAACAGAAGCGGGTAATTGTAACCAGTCTATTATCGGCTAGAATTTTCATGGAAGGAGCGAACATGGCAATATCAAATGTAGAATCGCCCTTAACGCATCGGTGCATTGACGAGCTTGTTGCATTTTTGCCTACAAACTGCAGCTAGCCCCGTCATCCACTTCACATGTTCAGTAACCTCGCATCGAATCCGGAATGGTACAAACGATGAGGTGAGAAATGTGCTACCTGACAGAAAGACGTAGAGGAGGAGACCACGAAAGGTCTAGGTACCGTCGATGCCTGCCGCTTAACAAGTGAGGCCTACGCTCGACTGAAGCAAGTGATACGATATAGTATAAGACCGCGAACAGATGTGACCCTGTCAGCGCTCGACTAAAGCAAGTGGTACGATATAGTATAAGACCGCGAACAGATGCCAACAATGCTTTTGCTTCTGGTTTATGATTCCATCGTTTGATTAGGTAGTTTTGTCCCTTTTTAGGATAAAGTCCTCAGATGAATAATCCAGGCTGTGCAACACCGCTGTTCTGAACACTTTATGACGCAAGCCGTATGATTTCTCTCAGCTGGATAGCAGATGGTACTTCATCTGGGTTGCATTATCATGGTTCAGCGGTTAGAGCGCGAATTTATTGACCGGGAAGTCCGTGAACCCGACCTATGCCTCTCGACTTCCCCCATGAACCCGACCTATGCCTCTCGACTTCCCCTGTCTAGGCTTGGGCAACCGACAGTATCCCAGCCCTCGAACTTCCTTTAGGGGTGACATGGCAGCTGAACACCGGAAGGGTGTTACAGCTGAACGATTGTTTGTCATCTGGGTTCCTTGTTAAAAATAGGACTGCTTGTGGATAATAGAATCTGACCACTTCCAGTTTGTGAAAACGAGCTCCCATGCCTCGCCACAAAAAGAACATTTGATTTGTGAAGCAAGGTATTCTGCACATTTATTGCAAGTACTAATGACGATTTATCACAACACGCATATGGGTCGCCTCTGTGAGGCAGGAAACAGTTGAGTAAACCACAGATAAATAGAAGCTAAGATAACTGGCGATAGCAGCCTAGGAATGTGCTTGATTGATAGTGAAATATCTCATGATGATAGGTAATTTGTGCTTTTCTGCACGTGTCAACAAACACAGAATGGCTTCGGTCGAACGATAAAACTGCGCATCCGCAATCCCCCGTCAGCACCACAACTGATAAATCGACAGGCGGCAGAAGCGGCTGCAATCGAGTCCTGATTTTGGTAGTAAGGCTGGACTATGTCCGAACCATCCGCACCAACACTCTTGCCTTGCTGTAACAGGGAAGCTCCGGGCACTAGAGGGAGGAGTTTGATTTCGGAGATGCCCGGATAGGTGGCAGCAATAATGGCTGCCGTCTGGTTGCCACGGAAGAGAGCAGCGGCAGCAAGCGCTGCCGCACCACGGCCCTGATAAAAGTCCCCGTAGAAACTGTTAATCAGCTCGTGTTCGGAAAGCCGCCATATCTGTCAATCAAAAACGGAAGAGAGAGCGGCAGCCAGCGCTGCCGCACCACGGCCCTGATAAAAGTCCCCGTAGAAACTGTTAATCAGCTCGTGTTCGGAAAGCCGCCATATCTGTCAATCAAAAATGTAAGATGGATGAGTCAACGAATCGTCAATTGAGACAGAACCTTTCAGAAACAGGTAAGCCCAAACGAACTTACCTTAACCTGTCCGTCTGCCCCTCCAGTAATCAGACAATCATTGGTGGGGTCGATACACAACGTCCGTATCGCAGAGTCGTGAGCAGCGAAACTGCGCATGACCTTCGGCTGCCGTAGGTCAACAAAACAGACTTCTCCACGTTTTGTCCCAACTGCTACCAGGCGATCACGTGTTACACTCCCCAAAGCGAATGGTGTTGCGCCGTTTCGGGATAGTAGACCATCTAGGGTAGATGACGTGGACAGAAACTGGGGCCATCCAGAAGAGCGCAGAGAGGGGGTGAAGTGTGAAATGGCCGTGCAAGGACTCTCTAATTCAGGGTCTGTGACGCCTGGAAATCGAAAAAAATATGTGATGAGTAGACATACTCTGGAAATGCTTCATTGATTTCACAGACACGGTACGGTATTACTGCCCTTGGAGATGCGAGTCATTTCAAACTTCATTAATACTACCTAACGGTTCAGCATTTACTTCACACCTGCAGAGGGTAAAGTACAGCCCATCAACATGACCTGGATAGAATGGCTGGAAATGACATCAATCGGGAAGATCAGGGGACCTGTGGCCAGCTATGGTACCGGCGTAACGTCAGTCTACATTAGAGTGTATACCACGAGAATGCGATCCATGTTGGTTTATGAATGAGAAGCGTAGTGTCTACGCACAGAGGGCTA